CAATAAGAGTATGAAATTTTTCTTTAGTTTTTTTATTTGTTGTCATTGTTATTCGTTGAGACATAAGAATAATCATTATACTCTTTATTGGTCATCAAATTAGGCACATTTTAACCTTCAAAGACCCATTCATATCCAAAAATCAACAATTTCATTACAATCTTCATGACAACTGTTATATCCTGTATAAGTCCAACAGTTGGTTATTGTTGTTGTCACTTCCTCCCAAGCTTTAACACAAATCTTTATTTAATTACCAACAGTGTATGTGGGAAATATTTTATTGAGATTTACTGAATTCATAACAACATCCATTAAAATGTGAGGGTTATGCCTTTTTAAAGACGTTATAATACAGGAATCGTCTGGTTGGTATTTTGATATCGAATTTTCATAAAGGTGTGTTAAAAATATATATATCTCAACCCAGATAGTTCATAAAGTAAAGGTTCTTCCAATTCCTTCCTTAAAATGTGTCTTTGTCTGAGTTTAAAAGTTCGGTTTTAGTTTTATTTTTCAACTTATGGCTGGGACAATTTTCTACAATATAAAAATGGTGCAATCATGAGTGAGACGATCGATTTCATACTTTTAAGATTTCAACCAAAAATTAAATATACGTTGTCTTCCATTATTTTTTTCTGGTTGATGTAAGTATTTTTATAGATAGTAATGTGAAAATCTTTAAATTTTCTTGGGCTTTAGTTGAATTTATTAAAATAAAAGGCCTTTTCGCTCCCACTAGAAAAATACAAATCATTACAGAGATAAAAGGCTTTGACATTTTATACTAACTTTTCTATAAATCGTCAAATATATTTTGGATCGATTTTATATAATACAAACCTGTTTCATCTACGTTGTTTAGAATTTCTTTGTAGTACTAATTAACATATTTTAACAATTCTTCAAAAGAACTCCAACCTTTTTCAAATCAACAGTAGCCACTTCATTGTGAGTTTTGTAAATTATTTTATTGTTTCTCTTGTAAAAATTCGAAACACCCAATAGAAGCGCCTTGATGGATAGTATCCGATTTTTTAGAATAAGTTTTTTAGCTTGGTGAACTAACATCGAAGAATCAATTGGTATTCCTGCTTCATGAAAGTCGTGAAACCAATTCGTCATTGCTTCCTCGAGTTTTGGGTTCTGTGGTATTCTTTTGAATTTTTTTGAAGAAGGAAATCCTTCTTAATGTTTTTATAGAGATAAAACACAACCAATAAATTTGTTTATGAGTAACAACCAATATAATTGTAGTTTTACAAATTCTATTTTTCTTTTTTTGATAAATACTAATAAGATTCATATTTTTATCCTGTCTTCAACCCTCAATGTTATTTTGGTAATGACACTTATAGACTTCATCAAAATTAAATAATTTAATAGTTTTAATAAAAAGTTAAATCTTATAATATATTTATTTTTACACTTTTCTAACCGAAAATATTTCTTAAAAAGGTGAAAAAAGTGTTTGTCTTTAAACTTTTTTTTTGCAAAACCATTGAAAACCAAAACTTTTCAATAGACAGTTTTATATTATATAAATAAAGTGTAAATTAAGACTAAATTAACCAAAAATTTGACCAAAAACGTCTTGAATAACAAGACAAATAATATCCACAAAAAATGTCATAACACGTTTCTTGTGATGAATTAATTTATCTTTTGTGATCATTTGCTTGATTTTTCGGTTATCTCTTTTTCTGATTCTTTGTTAAATAAAACTAAAAATGCAAAAATAATATTTATCTAATCATTATTCATTTGGAGTTTTTCACGTGAAATTTTTCTCTTCGTCGTATTTGTTCCCAACATACTTTGCATATCATTGTGGAGTGCGACAAACAGATATTTTGACTACAAAAAGAACGCGATTCTTTGATGAGACCAACTTTAGCTCCTATACAGAGCTGACACTTTTTCTTTTTTGACTGAAATTTTTTGTATATTTGATTTGTTCAGGTGATTTATACTCAATCAACCAATTTGAATAGCCGCACACATAAAACAATCTTTTTTCTTTTGTTTTTTTAACCCATTTTGAGTCAACGTTTGGTGTAATTTTTAGAAAGCTGTTTAGACAAATTGACCAAAAAGTCAAAGTGGTTGTTTTGTTTGCATTCTTTAAACTTTTCATTTTGTATTGACGTGTCTTCGTTTTTTGTTGTGTTGTGTTGGCAAAGAAAATCAAAAATGTCCATTTAAGTTTTACTGTAATTATAAAGAATGTTAATTTCTGATTTAGATTTTGAAGAGTCTGTAGTCTGGACATTAAGGGTATTTGTTGCGATGATGACAGTTTTTGTTTTTGGGGGGTTAAAAGTAATTAAAAGTCTACCATTTTTTAAAGAAAAACCCTTTTAGGCATTACTTTACATTATTAAAAATATATATTATAATCAATTTGTCTGATCAAACGATGTGAGACTTAACATATGAATAACAAACAAAAAATAAAATGTGGAAACTTTTTATTTTTTATTAATTTCACATCAAACCATAACTTAAAATATATAATATTATAACTAAATATTGTTTTATTTTATATAACTTTTAGTTTTCGTATTTAAATTCGTATTCATCTGTATGTGTGTTATAAGAATCACATTTATGGTATTGGAAGGGTAATAAAACAATCATTTATTTTAATTTAATTATGTACAGTCAAAAGCATCTAGTTGTCGTAATTATAATTGTAGAACTTGCTTAATTGTCGCACAACTAGTTAATCATTTTGGTGTACGACAATAAAATATTTTGTTTTCAAATCTGTAACTTTTGTTGAATTAAAAACTAAATTTTAAATAAAAAATGAATTTCAATATTAAAAAAATTCTACACAATTCACTCATATACGACAAATAGAGACATTTTTATGCTGGATTCACAACAAATAAACGCCTTTGACTATATAGTATTTGTCAAACATAAAAAATATGGTTTTTTTATTTAAATTATTATTGAAATTTAATACATTTGTGTTATTTATAAAAACAAAATCTTAAATTTTTTATTTTTTCAAAAAATCGAAAAACAAATACAGATACAGGAAAAACCAGGGACCAAATCATAAACCAGGAACCAGACTAAATTAAGCCGTTTTATTTTTGGTATATAGTTTCCTTGTTAAAGAAAAATAAACAAATAATCGAAGTTTTGGAGGATATGTTGGTTTATTTTCAAAAACCAGGGACCGACTATTAATAAACACACCTTTTTTAAAATAAAATGGAAAAAACTATAAAATATGAAACTCTTAATTAATCATTTGAAGCTGCCTATATTGTTAATGCCTAGCCGAGCCAAAGAAATGTTTGTTTTTTATATTGATTTATCTCTTATTGTTGAATACGTTTAATAATTATCAATCATTTGCTGAATGTCTAACATTCCAATAATTTATTCATTATTTTCTTTATTTTCATGAACGGCATGAGTCACTTTTAATACTGAACGAAAAGTGACTCATTGAATCAACCGAGGGAATAGAGAAGACTACAACATCTTCTTTGAAAAAATGAATGAACGATTTAATTGAATGGTTGTGTTGAAGTTAAACAAGGTTGAACAAAAGAATAATATTTTATAATTAAATAATAATTAATAATAATAAACTTACTATTATGACTCACACTAAGCTGTTGTTTATTCATACTTTATACAACACATTCATTTTTTTTCATCTTGAAAAATAACCGTTTTTAAGACCAAATAATAAAAAAATACCCATTTATTTATATCTTTGCCCGTTTTATTTTATATAATCCGCTTAATATTCAATAGCTAAAATTAGTCTGGTCCCTGTTTTTTCTGCTATCTGTAATCATACTCCGTAGCTTTTGCATTTTTTAAAAACTCAGTCTTTTTCAAGCTTTTTTGCCCAAAAGTGCATTTCCCTTTACCAACTTATTTTTCTCTAAGTAAATAATCTAAAATTGGAGGTGTTTTTATAAAATAATAAATGTTACGAAGAAATAATATAAATCTTTCACTTTTTGGTTATTGTTTTGTTCAAAATGCCGAATTTAAAAATAAAACCCTTGAAGAAAAAATAACTATTTTTATCTTTTCAAATTGATAAGTTTGTTATTAAAATAATATTATAAAATTTATAAATATATTTGTTTCAAAAAAGTGTTTAGTTATATTTATATTACATATCAATTAATCATATATCAATTAAAAATAATATATATTGAAAATAAATATATTATATTTTATTTTCATTTAATTAAGTTAACTACAAAAAAAATTTATTTTGTCTTGTAATTAATAATAATAATATTAATATTAATTTTGTGTTAAATATAATTAAACAAACATAATTAAAAAGTCAAATAAATTAAAAATATATTTATTTAAACAAATTAACAATAATAATTAAACATTCAGAATGAATAATAATTAACAAATTAAAATATCGTAATTATAATTTAAAAGATTATTTTAATAATAATCATTCATTGTGTTAATAATTATTACAAATAATTATTCAAATAAAATATAATATATTATTACATATATATCTATTTCAAACAATAAAAATATAAATAAAATTTAATTTATTGAGGTGTTTCATATCAATTGTCGAAATTGGTTTTGAAATCAAAAATCAT